CAACTTAGCAGTAAACAACTAAAAACTCAAATTTTAGATCGAGTGATATTTTACCGATACATCCTAAACGAGAATCGAAGGTCGCGTCATATGTAGTAAAACGGTAAAAAGTCTGACAAAAATGGATGTCGGATGAAGAAGTTATGAATTTTTAACAGATTTTCCTGTCCCGGTCTGTTAAAAATAATAATATTAAAAATAAAGTCAAAATTAGTCGACGAAGTCTAAACGAAAGTTGTAGATACACGTGCATATAAAGAACGTCAAAAACGGAGCTCGTATGCGAAAGTTATGGATTTTAGAAGTTCGGGGTCCGGAAACCGAAGAAATTCGCAGGAATAGTATTCGTACACGTCACTCGCACGAAGCATCAGCGTCACCGAGACATGGCCCAATCCGGAGACCGATGCGTGTTCCTTTCCGATTTGCCGAGGCCGAGGTCCAGCAGGAGCGAGACACGTCTCGCCTACCAGCCTCGTATCTGAACCTCTCTGACCGAACCTCGCATGCACGTCAGCTGGTCCGACCCTCGCATCCGAGCCTCCCCTTCTCGCCACCTGCCCCTTGTTCCTGCTGCCACCGAGCCCTTCGCTGCTTAGCCGACTCCGAACCTCGGCCCTATATAAAGGGGGCTGCGAGACCTTCCGACTAACTTTGGAAATTTGCCACTTTTAGCCCCTCTTTCCATATTTTCTTCATTTTGACTTTCCCCGAAGCCCCGATATCAATTTTAGCACCCGAAACACGTCCCGAGACCCCCGAGAAGCTCGGAAATTTTATCTTTTCGGTTTTGAAGCCCTGCCTTCGCAGAGTCCGGTTTTCAATTAAGCTCCCGATTTTCAACATAGAAAGACATATTTAAAGCCGAAGTGCTGTTCAAATTACTATTTTAACCCCTACTTAACTTAACATGAGTTCAATATATAGGAACAATTGTATGTTATGTGTTATATGTGCTATGTGCTTTTCAGTATTATTATTCTGAGTTATTTTCTCGTGTTATTCGCTATGTTTATAGCAATTGTAATACCTTTAACCATGTGATCAGTGAAAGGACTTAGATTCACATTGGTACTGGTACGTAGCCTCTGGCCATGTAGAGCATGTCTCCGTAAGAGAATGACTTCTATTCTATGGCATTGGCAAATGGTTAGACAGGACTATAAGCCTGAAATCTAACAAGATGTTAATCAGAAATTGCATGTCTTCTATGCCATTTGGGCCAAAGCTTTATTGATGTAAATCAAGAATTGAAAAGAATATCTTTGAATAATGTCTTTGATTGATATGAACGATTGTCACATGATCTCACATACATCTTGTTGTTCCTCTTTTCTTTTGCCACATTGAAGTATATATATGACATAACATTATATTGTTTCTATTTTTGAAATCACTAAGCGTCACCGCTTACCCTATCAATGTTTAACAATTGCAGGTGATAAGTAACTAGTATGTTTACATACTATTGAAAGATGTAGAATAGTTTGCAATAGTACTTTTGTACTACTTTTTAAGTTTGTATAAATTATAATATCCTGGGTAGTTATGTAATATATATATATATATATATATATATATATATATATATATATATATATATATAACACTTTGTAATAGAAGGTTTGTATCCAATAGTTTGTAATTCCCTTTTTATCAATGTAAAATATTGTTTTTATAAATATGCAAATAGCATGTTTTGGAGTAATGATATTGTGAAGTACGAAATTTTGGGTCTTTCAAAAATACGAAAGTTGGGGTCTTTCAATGTGCCCCGCCCACACTCAGATAACGGGCCCCACCCAATGAGATACCCCCATATTCGGGATGATAATGAGATACATGGACTGTCCACACTCATATAACGGGCCCCGCCTAACAGACATACATATACAAGCATATACAAGCATCACACAGATAACAAGTATAATAACATGACGAAACGAGGGTCAGCCTTGGTGCCTTAGACCCGCTAAACATGGTGAGGAAACTCACCTCGAATGCAGAAAAGGCAGTTGAATGGATCCTGGCTTCGAATATCGACTCTACTTAACCCTTAAACATAAAAGATTTCCTTAAGTAAAACACAAAATGCTCAAAAGCCCCTTAGGTCATACTTGTTCAAAGACTAAAGTTAAAGTCAAAGTTAACGATCCGAGTTGACCCAATTAGTCTGCAAAGTCGGGAAGAAACTGATCCAGCTCGCCGAGTACACCCATAAACTCGTCGAGTTCGCTAGAAACCTAACATCTTAATTCATTAAGCCAACCTTAACGAAACTAAGAGCTCCCCAATACAAATCTTAACTAAAATGACATCTAGAAGGGTAAAGTTTCCAACTTGACCCTTAAGAACCACCAAAATGGGTTCAAAACCCAAACTGTAGCCAACCTTAACGAAACTAAGAGCTCCCCAATACAAATCTTAACTAAAATGACATCTAGAAGGGTAAAGTTTCCAACTTGACCCTTAAGAACCACCAAAATGGGTTCAAAACCCAAACCGTAGGCTTAAATGTGTAATGACTTAATCATTAAGCACTAAATCACCAAAGGCATAACCCCAAACTGTAGATCTGACCCTAAAAGCTAAATGATTACGTGAAGTTTCCAACTTTACACTCATGCATGACTAGGAGAAGCTCAAATGCTAAAAGGAAGTCATAAGAAACATTTAATGAATGCGTGAAGCCCTTAAGACCATAAAGTTGGCACCCTTATGCCAAAAGAGCTCAAGAAGATCATAGATCTGAAAGAATAACACTTGGGACGTCCTACACCCCCATCAACCACCCAAACATGGCTAAAAGCATACAAACTAACCCCTAAAAGAGATCTAAAAAAATATTAAGCAAGGTTAGAACTTTATACCTGAAATGTTCTAGAAATGAAGTAGAGAATCAAGATCTAAAAGCTCCTACTTGAACCACCACCTTGCATCTAGCTTCTCTTCCTTCAATGAGCTTCAAACACACCGAAACATGTCTACAATTAGCTCACAACACTCAAGGAGCCTCTAGGGTTTCGAGATTGGGGTTAGGGGATATGGGGGCTGGAAATGAGGCTAATACATGGGGCTTAAGTTGTTTAAATAGGGTACAAAACCCTAAAATTAGGGTTTCCTCCCAGCTACCAACTCATTGAGTTGAGGCGCCTCAACTCGTCGAGTTGAATCATTACACTTCGCGGCCAAAACAACTTCAACACGTTGAGTTGAGGCTTCCAACTCGATGAGTCCTCCAAGAAAATGTAATTAAATGGAAATAAATTCATACCAGAAACTGGGCGTTACAGGTTTATTATCTACTAATTATATCCGTGGATTTGAGATTGATACAATTTTAAGTTGTTGTTGCTTCCGTTCTTTTGTACTATATTGTTATGTATTGAACATTAATCACTAACATTGGTACCACAAAATCTTTTCGAACTATACTCGCCAAATTATATTGGTTTTCGATTGTTTTTGGAAATGTTCTTTATGTTTTTGGAAATAGTCAAAAAAACAATATCCTGTAAACTCATCTATGGGCTCTTTGTCTTTCATATGAAGGCCAACAAAATTGCTTTTCAACGTCTGTAATCTTGTCTTCTACACTCAATGAGCACCAAGCTAACGCATCTATAGTGACTCCCATACTTATTTTTCCGTTTTCTTGTTGGCAAGATATCTTATGATATTTCTTAAAAGATGAAAGATCGAGCCTTTTCATTCTTTGTCCTTCACAATAATATCAGTTGGTGGTTCAATGGACTCTCATACCTCTGAAGTGTCCATTATGGCCTCCATCTTTATTGCTCAAGTAGTGTAGTTTGTAGGTGTTAGCAATGTGAATTGGAATGAAATATCACTGTTATATTTCTAAGTTGTGCCACTATTGACATATTTTTGAATCTTGGATAGTTTGTACATGAACCTTCAAGCTCTGATACAAAATGTAGGACACAACCTATATATCAAGGATCAATCGAAGAACACAACTAAGCACAAAATGGAAACATTACTCTTATTGTTCGATTAAAAAAACAAGTAAAACTACTCCTAAGTGGAAAAAAAAAACAAATTAAACTAAAAGCTAGCTAATGCATGTTTTCCAGTTAAAACGGACACAAAGAACATCTACAATTTTGAGTTTAATGAGATAGTTGAATGTGGTGACAAATATAGTTGTTATTTAATGGATGAAACTCTACCATTGTTACATACATTTTGACATTCCATGAATTTGAAGTTCAACGATATTGAACCCTTAAATTGAAAAAATGAAAGTTTCTAATTTTTAAATAAATATTATAAATTAATTTTTGTATTCTATTAAACTATATAGCGTTCAATGCATTTTAGATAAATATTGATAGAATTGTATGAGATATAAAAAAATGATATGATAATTCATTGACTATATAGAATTAAATCCATGGACCATGTCAAAAGCTCATTATTGTCGGTCAACTAAGGACCAAGTTAGAATTAACTTTCAATAGTATTTACATACTTAACTAGGTCATCTCTAATGCATTAAACCCATGAAAAGTTAAATAGAGTGCCAACTAGGAGAGACATTATATATATTCAATTAAATTCTAAAAAAAATAGATCTTTTCACTACACATTGTATTCAACGGTCGAATGGTGTTTCGATTCTACATTCTCTATCCACTATATTATATTTAAACTTATTCTAGACCGAAGGAGATGGTCACATTTCATCTTTTACTTTTTGAATGTCCTCACTTTCCTTTCACTTACAAAAAGATAGTAAATGGTTGTCTCTCATTATTTTTAATTTATTTTGAATTAAAAACAATGAATATAATATATTTTATATAATTTTTTTTATTATATATAGTTTGTAATAGATAATAAAATAACTGAAGGAAGAGAAAGTGAGGGGTAGCCTTCACCCTTTCCCCGCACCCCGTAAACAGCAGACCATATGATGTTCCGGGATATTGTTTCAAGATTTTGCATGGTAAAAGCTCCATATATTTAGTACATATGTTGTCTTATCTTGTTCATTTTAAAATCACTCGATATTTCACTTCTAACAATCACATACCAAAAACATGCACACTTCATTTTAACAAATATGTTATACATACATGAATTACAAACTTAATTAAAAGGAAACCACCGGCCGATACACCACTCAAAGGAAACCACCGGCCGATACACCACTCAAGTTATTATATGGAATATATATATATATATATATATATCATCAAGCTCCTTAGGATCAATGTCAAATTATTCAAACCATACGTAGTTACAACATTAAATCATAATATATGTTATGAGGTTAAATCACTGATGTAGCCCCACGTCCAGAAAACCAAACTGCAGGTTTTGGTTTCGTCAAGCAAGAAAACATATTAACCAGCGCTTCCTTGGCTTTCGAGTACACCTCCCTAAAGATCAGTATCTTCTGGAATGGAAAAAACATAAGTACAAAAATAAGGACCGGGATAAACGAAATGGCGTACAAGGAGATGTCCGTCCACTTCCTCCCACTGCTGACAGTTAGAATAAGCGTTGCTGCGAATGCAAGCATCAACATCGCCACTGATATCATCAACATCACAAGCCCTGCTTGCAACTTACGAACAAGAGATTTTTCGAAATCCTGAAACCGATATGATGATGTGATGATGTTGAGAAACATGATAACTGATGTCAAAGCTGCTGAGAGAGACATTGCATCTGCTACTGTGAAAAAGAAGAACAAAGGTTTTTCCTTAAGAACTGGCTGACCCGTCGTTGGATTTGGACCTCCTGGTACTGTATACGCTGCCGCAAACGCGACGGTGGCAATCAGCACTGCAACAACTGTGTAGTTTTTTGCATTCTCGGTCATCCATTCTTTGGCTTCCTTACGACGTTTATCGTTTCCCTCATTAAACTCCTGTTCAGCTGTCTTGGATCTTGAGTTCAACTTCATTTTGTCCAAGGTTGTACATATATTCTCTACTTTCTGCACAATCCATGACAGAATATGTTTCGAAAATTATTAGAATATGATTCTGGTTTTATATATCTGAATATAAACACAATTAATGCATGCATGCATATATGTTAATTAGAAGGATGAACTCACCTTAAACATACGCACATTGCCTTGCAGTACGTACGCAGGACCTTTTAAATCTGAATCCACATCTTCTACCTCTTCGGCAACCATATGAAGCAAGGTGTTTGCATCGTTATCGATCTTTCCTTTCAATCGCTCCTTCGCATACCTCCTATTGACCACCATATCAAAAATTTCATTGTTACGATGTTTGATTGCTACATGTAAAATGTTACGCCCATCTTGGTCAATATGTTCGATTGCCTGAGGGTACAAAGTTAGTATTTCCTCAACGATCTGCGGGCACCCATGTTTGGTTGCTAATAATAGTGGAGTATCCGGCAAACGAACAGCAGATTCATAAGTTATGATATCTTCTTGTGTTATGGATGAAGTTTTTCCATAATGATGATATTTGGATGTATGTTTTGTTAACCTTGATGCAGTTTTTTCCCATGAAGTGTCTTTTTTTACCAGGAGCTTAACTAGTTTCATTGCCCATTCGCATTTGAACTTCCGTTTTCGCAAATTCTTCAAGGGGGGCAACATCCAACTGGTGTCTTCAACATTTGGATCAATAACTAGCATCAAAAAGTAGGAAATTAAATTTATTAGTCTTTTTCACAACAGCTATAGCATATACAAGAATAGCACAGAAGTGCATGGTTAGTATCATCATACAGTTGTATATAAAGCGCACGACGAAATTATGTGGAGGGAGTTCTAGTGGACGGCAGGAAAGAAGTTGAAGAGGTGTCATCCCGTCTTCATCCATTTCATGAATTAAATGGTTATGCTTCACTGCTATCTCATGACACATCCCTGTAAAAACACATACACGCCATATATAAGAACCACTATTTTAATCAAAATCGAAATACGACAAGTACTATATATACTTACAGTAGTTTCTGCTAAGAATTGCTAGATGGAGTATGGTAGATCTATCATCTCTTAGAAGAAAGGTTTTCAAATCGGGTCCCTGATTTGTTTTAGTGACTTGATCATGTAGGAACTTAAAGATCCTAGTCTTGCCGTGTCGAGCTGCATAGAATAAAGCCGTCTCTCCTTGCTTGTTTGCCATACTGAGCAACATAGGAGCCCTTCGTAGCATTTCCGCTGCAGCTACAAGTGTCTTATTGTTAGTGCCCGCCTCATGGAGGATAGTACTTCCGCCGTTATTTTGCCAAGTGAGTTTGTGAGAATCGCACAAAGGGACCATGTTCAGGAGCTGAAGCACAAGATCGTTTTTCTTGTGGTAAGTCGCAATATGGATGACGGTATCTTCATGTATTGTAACTGTATGCAATGGACCCTTGGGAATGCTTGCACATATGTCCAGCACCTTGTCGTCGTCCTTCTGCATCAGAGCCTTATACAAGTTGGAATTAATCTTCATGTCTTCGGTATCCATGGAGAGAGAGAGAGAGAGAGAGAGAGAGAGAGAGAGAGAGAGAGAGAGAGAGAGAGAGAGAGAGAGAGAGAGAGAGAGAGAGAGAGAGAGTGAGAGAGAGAGTGAGTTTTGTTTATCAAGACCTTGTAAAGCCTAGTGCATATATTTATAGACACATTTGTTATTAGGAACCTAGACATAGTTAGAAAGCACTTGCATAGTTTGCGAATAATTCTAAACTTGCATGATAATCTTACAGCCTTTCTGAAAATGACGTCTTCCAGACTTTTTCAAAGTATAGAAATATAGAATCACAAAGTACCTATTCTCCCATCTTTTCTTATTACTAATCATCTTATCAATTTAAACTATGATATGTGTTATATTAATATATCTTTTCTTATTACTAATCATCTTATCAATTTAAACTATGATATGATATGTGTTATATTAATATATCTTTTCTTATTACTAATCATCTTATCAATTTAAACTATGATATGTGTTATATTAATATATTAAATTTCATTAAATATTACATTTATTGACATTATTTAATTGGGTAGCAAAATATATAGGAACAAAATGTAAAATGTAAGAAATTTTGATAAACCCAAGATTTTGAGTCTAGGAAATCCATAATGAATCGTTATATTAATATCGTTGCACTTTTTATAAAACTCTATTATTTTTGTTTTATCATTCTATATAAATTCAATGGAATATAATTTTTTTAAAGAGAAATCATTCATTTTTTAATCATTTTGTATTAAATAAATAATTTTTCCGAATGAATAGTAATGGATTCTTTAATGAGGTTGCATCCGCATCCACAATCCTCTTGGTCAGAAGCCTTAAGCATATACACCCCTCCTCCTAGTATCCTTAAATGGAGACTAAAGGAACGAGTGGATGCTTTAGAAAAAGAAATTTTTCAACAAATTTAGAACAAGAAATTTTTCTAAAAATTTAGAACAAAAACTTTAAAGCATATAAGTTTAAAAAGTTTAATGAGAGAGTTGAAGGAATTGATAAATTTATGTGTCATTAAAAGGATGAAACTTTGTTATTATGAGTTGTCATCTTGATATTTAAAGGATTTGGAGTTCAATAAGCATTGAATTCTTCAATGGATAAAATTAAATTTTTTAATTTTAGTATATCCTACAAATTACCTTTTTGTAATATTTTATTAAACTTTTTAGAATTCAATGCGTCGTAAGAAAAAAAAAAATTGTATAAATTGTAAAAAAGTAAATTACACGAATGGTCCTTATGGTTTGGGGTGATTTGCGCGTTTGGTCCATAATTTATTTATTTTTAACTCGGAAGGTCCTTATTATTTGTTTTTGTTACGCGTTTGGTCCCTATCGTACCTAAAAGGACTATTATGTTATTATTTAAATAAATTAAAATAGTCTTTTTATGTAAGATAATGTGAGGTGGGGGTGAGGTTGGAGTGTGTTTATTAAAATAATTTAAAACTCAATGACAAAATAGTCTTTTAAGTTAAGACATAGACCAATAGCGTAACAAAAACAAACAGTAGGGACCTTCCAAGTTAAAAAAAAATAAGGTAGAAACCAAACGAGCAAATCAACTCAAACCATACAGACCATTTGTGTAATTTCGTCGTAAAAATATTATGTGACAATTGAACTCTATAAAATTCAATGCATTATAGATACTTTATTCGTAAAAAATACAAATGCATGCTATAAAACCAACAAATTATTACCGACTTTGATTTGTATCGTGTGGTCAAACAAAATTTCTTTTGTCACTATGTACAATATAAGATGAGATCAAATGATTCATTATTATTCTGATTGTTCCAATTCAAGGAATTCTAGTATGTGTAATTGCATAATTCTGAATGGGTAAAACCTTTTATGATACAAGTCATATAAAATTTATTATATGCATTATGTAGATTCGGATTAAAATCTAGGGTTATATGTTCATCCTCTAGAATATGTTAAAGCTAAACATCTTATTCACAAAAGGCTAGCTATAATACAGTGAAGTTGAAAAAAGTCGTATAACTCTTTGATTTTGTAAGAAGGAAGAATAAACAAATAAAGGTGAGGATGAATAATCAAAGGTATCTCACTTATACAAAACTTCTAGCTAGGGTTTAAACAAAAAGGAAGAATGGTGATTCACAAAAAGCTAAGGGAAGTGTTGCTAAAAACTCCTTGATTAGGTCGTTTCATAGTACATAAAACTTAGATAAATAAATTCAAAAATAAAATTGTTTTCCCATGGAGAGGTATTGTCCAATAATCAAGTGTTAGAGCTATCCTCCAACCTCACCTAAAAGCAAAACACAACAAGTATGCTTCAACCTCACTGAAAAAACAAAACACAACAAATAATTAGTTTTTTGTCTATCATTATAAAAGAGTTGAATTTAGCAAAACAATCATTAAACTAAAAGTAGAATGTTATAAAGATTAACAAGTAACCGGGTCATATAAAGATTAAATATGGACTGGTTCCATTCAAATAACCGGGTCTTTTTCAGCCTTACAAAAACCAACTATAGTTACAGTACCACAAAGCATAGTTATAATAATTAAATTGGTGACAACTTTATTCAAATAACCAAATAAAAAGCACAAACTAATACTTGCATCCAAAGCACACATTCAAAACAAAATAAAAATTATGCATTGATGAACAAATTATATTAATATAAACATGCTAAATAACCAATCATTATAGTCATCGATAAAAACATGCTCAAGTGTTGCTAAAAATTCCTTGATTTGGTCATTTCATAGTACATAAAACTTACATAAATAAATTCAAAAATAAAATTGGTTTCCCATGCAGAGGTATTGTCCAATAATCAATTGTTACAGCTATCCTCCAACCTCACTTAAAAGCAAAACACAACAAATATCCTTCATCCTCACTGAAAAAACAAAACACAACAAATAATTAGTTTTTTGTCTAGCATTTTAAAAGAGTTGAATTTAGCAAACAATCATTAAACTAAAAGTAGAATGTTATAAAGATTAACAACTAATCGGGTCATATAAAAAATTAAATATGGAACAATTCCATTCAAATAACCAGGTCTTTTTCAGCCTTACAAAAATCAACTATAGTTACAGTACCACAAAGCATAGTTTTAATAATTAAATTGGTGACAACTTTAATGAAATAACCAGATAAAAAAGCACAAACTAATTTACATCCAAAGCACACACTCAAAACAAAACAAAAATTATGCATTGATAAACAAATTATATTAATATAAACATGCTAAATAACCAATCATTATAGTCATCGATAAAAACATGCTTAAGTGTTGCTAAAAACTCCTTGATTTGGTCATTTCATAATACATAAAAATTACATAAATAAATTCAAAAATAAAATTGTTTTCCCATGCACAAGTATTATCCAATAATCAAGTGTTGCACCTATCCTCCAACCTTACTTAAAAGCAAAACACACCAAGTATCCTTCATCCTCACTGAAAAACAAAACACAACAAATAATTAGTTTTTTGTCTAGCATTTTAAAAGAGTTGAATTTAGCAAACAATCATTAAATTAAAAGTAGGATGTTATAAAGATTAACAACTAACCTTATATGCACTTTTAGACAACCACATCATTCATAAAAATTTTCAAAAATTCTCTGGCCCGTGTGGCAACAGTTGTAACCAATACCTTTTCCTCAAATGCAGTTTTATCATTCCAAAGCGTATCAAACTATTTGAAAATAAAATTAAAACTACTAAATATCGAAACAATTTGTTTCTTGCTTTAGAATAAAAGAATTTTTTAAGTACTTACTCTACTTGGAAATCCATGTTATCTGTTCAACACAAAATCAAAGATCCAATTCATTACATAATGCTCACTCATCTCACGTTCCAATACACTGGCTTGGTTGTACTAAAATTGTGATAGAAGGTAAACATAAATCATAAATGAAACTACATCTAACTAGTAGATAAGTAATGAGATAAATTATCTAGCTTCCATACAATTGGAATTGATGTGTTCTCTTCATAACTCTCAAAAACCCTAAAAATATACAAGTAGTAGAGTTGTATTCAAACTTATAGAAAGAATGTTATTTTCATGCCATATTAAAAAATTTCTTACTTTTCCAGAAGTTTAACCAAGTAGTAGTTGTCAACAAGATTTTTCATAGGCTCCATCAGAGAATCCAAAATGTATACAATATGATTTGAAGGGAAAATCACCAAGAGGACCCAATGCATACTAGTAATATTTTGAAATTTTAGTATAAATAATTAAAAAAACAAATAACTTTAAATTTGTCCTGACATCTAGGGGCGGAACACAAACGTTTTGACCGGAGGGGCCGAATAAAATATAAAACCAAAGTATATAAACATTCATATGTGGCAACTCTCATACATAAAAAATGTTTTCTTTTTTGGAACGGTAATAGTTTATTGTTTCTTCATTTTGATGTCCTCTATGTAACATAAATTTTTAATAATTAACAAAACAATCAAACACAATAAAAAGTTATAAATACATTTTGGCCAAATCAATTAACTTCACTGTCATATACTTAATAACAACTATTAAATAATAAAATCAATTAACAATCAACAAATACTTACACATTGGCTATATATAATAGTTTTCAAGATTTTGGTGTAGCTGATCTTTCATCATATTTATTCTAATTTCTAGATAAACTTATAAAAAAGAAATATGAGCACATCATAAAAGTTGTGTAGATAGAACAATAGCAGAGTGAGGGATTTTTATTTAAATATTTGGAAGCAAATTTTTACATTATAACTTTTAACTAATTAGGTGAAATTGTGTGATCTCTGTACAACAACAAACCAAAAAAATTTATAACGACTATTTAAAAGTTGTTATTCCCTATGAGTATGGCTCTTTGATTCTGTTTCTGTATGGGTAAGGTTTATCATTTTTAAAATGGAATCGTTAAAATGCAAAAGTGTAGTAGATTACTTGACCGGCTTCAATAGTTAGATTCAACATGCCTCGTTGTGGGTGTAGAATTGATTGGTGGAGGAACCCTAAAGTAAACACCTTAAGACTTTTAAAA